TCGTGCCAGCTGGCCTGCTGAGCTCCGCCGCGGAATCGCGGGCAGCCGCTCCATCAACAACACGGCCAAGCTTATCATGATCAACGATGAGGCAGAGCGTGGGCAGCACCTCGCCTGGCCAGCGTGTCGTCGTCGGCTCCGTCGAGGAACTCGTGCTTTAGCTTGGTGCGCAACCCCAGCATCTCCAGAGAGAGGTGAAGGCGTTTCTGGACGGCCTCCGGGTGAACCAGGACCGGCCGCTACAACAGCTTCGTGCCTCTGGAGCCCAGGAACCAGCTGTGTACTCCGACGACGGCTCCGAGTTCAAGGAGCTGATGGATTTCTGGAACATGAGGCGCAAGAGCATTAAAAGGGAGGTGGGAGCCTGGCCTTTAGCCTCCTTTGGCGGGACCTTGAGCTGGTTTTGGGGACTTTTCGGAGATCCCTGTGCACCACTGCCACCCCCCAAGCCAAACCTCGCCCCCATCTCCCCGCTCTCGGCGGAGGCTACCCTGTGCACCTTTTCGCTCCAGGCCATCTTGTTGACCCTGTAGGCGTCATTTTCTTCCGTTGATTTGGCTCAAGTTGTGCATGAGGTGCCACTGCCCGCCGGCCCGCTCCGGCTGCTATGCGGCGCAACATGGCCTTCTTGATGGTGCGGATGATGCGCTCCGCGAAGTAGGCGTGGCGCCACTCACTGATGAGCTCCCAGCGTCGGGTTGGGCTTCTCGGCGAGCCCTCGTCGTCATTGCCCCACCGAGCGCGCCATGTGACACCAGCCTCAAACCAGCGCAGGGCAAGCTCTGCCCGCTGTGCGTGCGTGGCCGGGGTGCGAAGAGCCGTAAAGATTTGACCCCCTCTTCCGCGATTCCCGCAGTGCGCTCGGTGTCTTGAGCTTTCTCGCGAGGTCTCGGGCATCCGAGTCCGCGGCGTGCAGCTGCTCCTTGAGGAGCTCGATGAACTCAGCAGTGCAGGAGTAGTACTTTGCATGTTGACCAAAGCATCCTGAAAACAAGACTACTTTTTGAATGAGTTTTTGAACCTTGATCAATGATAGTTATGATGAGGCATGAGGGCGGCCACTTTCGCCTCAGGCCTGGCTGATTCCCCGTGCGTTACACATTCCTTTTCTGAACTGCCTCCTGCTTGGAGACTATTTGCAGTTGGTTGGCATTTGGGCTGCCTTTGCAAGCGTGGCGGCTTGCGCCGCATAGAACTCGGCAGTCCAGGAGTAGTTTGAGTTTTGACGAGCACATCCTGAAAACAGCACATTTTCCGATGATGCCACTTGCGTGAGCCCTCCGCCTTTGCAGGCGTCAGACATTTGATCAATGCTAATGATGATGAGGCATGAAGGCAACCAGTGTCGCCTTAGGCCTACGTAGCTGACCACCCCTCAGTGACAAAGCCTCGTCTGAACCCTGCCTCATGCCTCGAATCCATTCAGCGTTGGTGGCCGTGTTGGCCCTTGCAAGCGTGGCGGCTCGCTCTGCATAGAACTCGGCAGTGCAGAAGTAGCTTGCATGTTGACGAAAACATTCTGAAAACAACGGAGTTTTCAGATGATGCCACTCTGCTTGCGTGAGCCCTCTGCCTTTGCAGGCATCGTAAGTTTGATAATACAAATTGTAAACATCCCTGAGTGACAAAGCCTTGCCTGAACCCTGCCCCATGCCTTGAGTCTATTCAGAGTTGGGGGCCTTTTGGGCTGCCTTTGCAAGCGTGGCGGCTCGCGCCGCACAGAACTCAGCAGTGCAGGAGTAGTTTTCGTGTTGACGGAAGCATCCTGAAAACAGCGCTACTTTTTCCATGATGCCACTCTTATTGCGCCTCCGCGGGTGTCAGCACCTTGATTGATGATACTTATAACGTGGCATGAAGGTCGCCAGTTTGGCCTTAGGCCGAGCTGCTGTCCCTATGTGCCTAAGCCTTGCCTGAACAGTGTTGGGATGATGAGATTGCCTCAGGCCTACGTAGCTGACCACCCCTCAGTGACCAAGCCTTGCCTGAACCCTGCCTCCTGCTTGGAGACTATTTGCAGTTGGTTGGCATTTGGGCTGCCTTTGCAAGCGTGGCGGCTTGCGCCGCATAGAACTCGGCAGTCCAGGAGTAGTTTGAGTGTTGACGAGCACATCCTGAAAACAGCACATTTTCCAGATGATGCCACTCTGCTTGCGTGAGCCCTCCGCATTTGCGGGCGTCAGACAATTGATCGATGCCAATGATGATGAGACTTGGGGACCGCCCCTCCATGACCAAGCCTTGCCCGAACCCTGCCTCAGGCCTTGCTATTCAGTGTTGGTGGCCGTTTGGGCTGCCTTTGCGAGCGTGGCGGCTCTCACCGCACAGATTTCGCAGCGCAGGAGTAGCTTGCTTGTTGGTGCAACCGAAATGAACTCAAAGCTACTTTCAATAATTCCACGCTGCTTTGAGCCCTCTGCGTGACGCTTCTGTCGTTTCTGGTGTCGGATTCTTGACCAATGAACAATTATGATGATAGGCCTACGTAGCTGACTGTCCCTGCCTGAACTTTGCCGCCTGCCTTGAGTCTCTGCCGTGTTGGTTGCCATTCGGACTGCCTTTGCAAGCGTGGCAACTCGCGCCGAACAGAACTCGGCAGTGCAGGAGTAGTTTGCGTGTTGATGTTTGCATCGAGAAACAAACACTACTTTTGCAATGATGCCACTCCTATTGCGTCTTTGCAGGTGTCAGAACCTTGATGGCATGAGGGCGCTGACCGCTCCTGAGCGCCCAAGCCTTGCCTGAACTCTGCCTTCTGCCTTGAGTCTATTCAGTGTTGGTGGCCGTGTGGGCTGCTGGCTGCTCATGTCGCACAGAGTTGAACGCAACACCACTTTCAATGATGCCACTCTGTTTGCATGACGCTTCTGTCGTTGCCGGTGTCCGAGTCTTCATCAATGAGAAATTATGATGAGGCACGCAAGCCGCCTTAGGCCCCAGTAGCTGAACTCCCCTCCGTGACCAAGACCCCTGTCTTCTGCCTTGAGTCTATTCCGCGCTGGTTGCCATTCGGGCTGCCTTTGCAAGCTTGGTGGCCCGCGCCGCACAGAACTCGGGAGTCTAGCTTGTTGAAAACCTAGTCCCCAATGATTGGCGGATTGCGGATTACGCACTTTGCGGATTAGAAATTGCGGTTTATGGATTACGGCTGATGAGTTGCTGAATTTTCCATTCTCCATCATGCGTTTTTGACCCACAAATTGCAGTGCGGATTACGGAGTAAGATTTTGGACAGGCTGGGCAGTGCAGGAGTAGTGTGCGTGTTGACGGAAGAACACAATTTCTTGAATGATGCCACTCTTGTGCTTTGGCCGGTGTCTGAGTTTTGATCAATGAAACAAATGTGATGAGGCACGCATTATTTAGGCCTAAGCTTTGCCTGAACCCTGCCTCCTGACTTGAGTCTCTGCAGTGTTGGTGGCCGTTTGGGCTACCTTTGCAAGCTTGGCGGCTCGCGCCGCACAGAACTCGGCAGTGCAGGAGTAGTAGTTTACATGTTGACGAAAGCATCCTGAAAACAACACAACTTTCAGATGATGCCACTCTGCTGGCGTGAGCCCTCTGCCTTTGCGGCCGTCAGACGTTTGATCAATGATCGTTATGATGATGCACGAAGGCAGCCAGCTGCACCTGAGGCCTACGTAGCTGACTGCCCCTGAGTGACCAAGCCTCGGCTGAACCCTGTTTCCTGGCCGCTCACACGCAGAACTTGGCAGTGCAGGAATCGTTTGCATGTTGAACAACAACCTTTCAATAATGCCAATCACTTTGCAAGACTTGCTGCGTGCTCCATTGCGTACATGTGTGTCAGAAACACAGAACTGAATCTGTGCACGGCTTCCTGCTTTTGGCCGGTGACTGATGCCCCACTGTGTTGTGACGAGCGTGGTCAGCTCCTCACTCATGGTAAGAAGTCAAAGATCCCAACAGAGCGTCTGATTAGACCTTGTGGGTGGCATCGACGAAGCCGCAGATTGAAAGAGTGTGCCTAGGCGGAACTTGAAAGTTGGCATGGCCCACCAGTGTGCTGGGTGGTGGGACATTATCCTTTCTTGGCCCTGTATTTCGTGGGTGGAGCCTGGTTACCTTCCAAAGTTCACGCCGGTTGAAAGCAGCCAGACAAAGAGGCTTGGCACGTGAAACGACGCGCGGCGAATCGATAGAGGGTATGACTCTTTGAATGCCAATTTGGCTCAAGACCGTTGTCCCCCTTTCCCTTCAGGTTACCTTCTCATGTGTTCTGGGCTTTTGCCACGAGTCGTGGATATGGAACAGCCAGTCACACAGCCAGCTCAGTAAAACAATGAGGGCGATATGTCTAGTAACTTGGACAAGTTCAAGCCAGGAAGCAGGGGTCTTGTGGAAAACTCAAGAACAACCGGTTTGAGCATCTTATGCAGACCGCTCACAATGGACATGACATCCGGCCCCATTTGCTGGGGCGGACCAGCTTGTGGTGTGGAAAACGAGGGGCTTCGGTCTTTTCAACGTGACGACTACGCCTAAAAGCTTGTACTTCTTTTTCGATGGGGGTGTCAAGAAAACAACAAACCAAGCATGCTACGAGCTCCCGCCTAAAAGTAAGAATCAACCAGTGAAACCGGGTCAAAGAAAAGATCAGCAAAGCCAAAACAGAGCTTCATATTGCGGAGGGTTCGAAACAGAGTTTCGGGGGAGTTAAACTGGCCCAAACCCACCAACAAGCAAGAGAGACTCAAAACAAACCCCCAGCCACATTGAGCCAAAGGATAACCAGTTTTAACAAGCGAAAGAGCACGAGCATGAGCAGCAAAGCAAAGCGAGGAGGCACCAGCAACACCCCCCTCGACAACCGTATTTGCGCGTGGGAACATGCAATCTCCGTACAAATTGGGCAATTGGCCAATCAACGTTTCAATTTGGTTTTTCTGTGGCGACCACCCCGCCTTTTTTTGTGGCTCAACGTTGCACGGAGTGATGACCTGGTCATTGGCATTGGCGACGAGGGATCGAAGGGCCGCAGCCTTTGGATTGAAGAAGCTCCATAGGCGTCCTTGGCCCATGGATACTCACCAGGCGCAATGCTTTGCGAGCCAGTCAGTCCATAGAGTTTTCGCTTAGCTGGTTGAAAGGGGGGGATTTTGACAGTTGGTATGTTGGCTGCACTTCATGGCCGAGTGGAGGCAATCCTCTCTTCAGCCAATGCCTTCCGCTTGGACCTTGGATTGCACCGCTGATTGGCTAAATTTTCAACACCAACAACAGTCGAGCCCTTGATCGCAATGAATCCAATGCCGTTTGCAGAACGAATTGCAAAGGTCATTCCTGCCTACATGGGCGATGGTCTGATGCCCGTGAAGCAGCCGTCTCCCTGGCGTTGACGGCCCCTGCCTGACAACAAGCTCGTGCGGTCCAGTTGGCGATTTGTGCTGCAAAGAACTTCTTTGATTTGGTCTCAGGCAGCTAGTGCCGCGGAGGCAACCGACAGCTGCTCAGAGGTGGAAGAGATGGAAGGCTTGTAGCCTCGAGATCTGAAAAAAAACACATGTTTTGCAATACGGCATTAAAAGCAATAGCGTCATCGTCGCAATGTGTGCAGGCTTCACCGACACGCGGAAGACTGACGCGCTGTGGGTTGCGGCTTCTTCGGTGCACCCCTCAGTCGCGCGCGGATTCATTTTGTTTCGTTCCAAAACAAATCTGCCAGCAACCAAGCGGATGGCCATTTCTGGAGGCCCGTGCGGGATTGCTCAAGATGCTGGCGGCCTTCTCTGCGCGTCTGGGCGCCGAGTTCTTTTGCGACGGACGGGGATGCCACGGCTGCCACGGCTGCCACGGGTCCCCTCGTTTGGGTCGAAGAAACCGAAAGAAACCAAAGCCTCCAGGCGCTGCGCGGGGCCCGTCCCGGGACTTGGCGCTGGCCACGGCGGCCGCCTGCACCGCCATGCTGCCAGAGGCGCATCCGGAATGGCCAGGGGGCCCGGGTTGCTTGCTCTGTTCTGTGCGCGTGTTTTGGGGGGAGGGAAGGGGGGGAATTCTGGTGTTTGGTGGGAGGCGTGGCCTCGGTTTGGGAAGATTTGCAAGGTCACCAACATCGTGCCACGAGATTCTTGTGCCTTCGGCACGGCATCGATGCCAGGTTTGGCCATCAGGGTCTGCCGACGACCTGCTGAGCCTGGCACTCAGCTTTGCAGAGCTAGGGTGCTTCAGAGAGGCAGGAGCTCCTTGGCCTGTCAAGGCATGTCTGGAGTGCCGGGCTTGCTGCTGCGGGCTGTGGCTCTGGTGAGTCGAGCGACACCAGGCTCGCGGAGTATGGAGTCCGGGTGCGAGCGCAGATGAAACAGTCTGAGGTCTCGGGGGATTTGCGACCCTGCGCGCCGGGGCCCCGACCAAACCGCCACGAGTGGGGCGGGGATGGCGCACGTGAGATTGCGGTCTGGACTTGGAGGCATGCCGTGCTGCGGCAGAGCTATTCGCAGCAGGGCGCCTATGAGACGAATGAATCAAAGTTCCCAGCATGACGTGCTAAGGCTTTGCTGGAGGCTTCCATGCCAGAACTACGTCAGGCATGCGAGGCACCACAGTAGGATTTGCTTTTGGCATTAGCTTGTTTGTTTTGAACGACAGGCTGCACTTTTCCGTGACTCGAGCCTATCATCGCCGATGCACTCTATTGCTGAAGCTCTGCGTGGATCTTGGTACTGAGATTATACTTAATAGAGAACCTAAATGCAAATATACAATTCTTGCAATCCAAGCGCCCAGAGGCTGGGATCAAATCCAGACCCTCGCCTGAACGAGGACGAGCTTTTTGCTGGGCACCCTCGTTTCGAGTTTCACAGATTGAAACATGACAGCGACAATGCTTTGTTAACGCTCAATTTTGGGCGCTAGAATAGAAGAGACATCGTGCAAGTGCGGCTTGTGAAATCCAATGACAGGGTCGTTCGAACAGGCTTTGCGCTTCTTTGAGCGCAGGCCATCCTCGAGATCTTGTGGCGCGGCTTGCGGCGCGTGCCGTTTGGGGCAGCCCTGGCCGCACTGAGCTCCGCTCATCCTGCGGGGCGGCCTAGGGCCTTACGGCCGTACTCCGCTTCCGACTTTCAACATGTTGAGTTGTTTTTGGATATTCCGGGGATGCTTACAGGCTTAAGAAAAGGCTTGATGAACATTGTTTCACTGAGCACGTCTGTTTGGGGTAGTTGATAGCATAGCCCTTGCATATCCCTGCAAGGTCGATTGAATTCATCCCACCGTAGAGGATGGAGGGCAGATCGCCGGTTGCTTTCCGAATCTCAAGCTTGTCCGCCCCTAGTGCCTTGTTCGGTTGCGTTGGTCTCATTGACGCACCATGGCTCTTCCCATGAAGTCTGCGATGAAATCCGTGATGAAGTCGAAGTCCATGAAGAAGTCCACCAAGCCGTCGATGAAGGCCAAGGTCATGAAGAAGAAGGCCGTGAGCAAGATTGCAAAGGGCAAGTTCGCCAAGGCGGCAGTGTTCAAGGGCGCCAAGGAGAAGACGGCTACCCAGCTGACCAAGACTGACCTCATGAAGCTTACCAGCCTTAGCAGGGCTTTTGCACTTTCATTCGACGTTTGTTTTTCCATCATTTTCACACCAACCAGCTTCTTTTTTTGCAATGGCTTTGAGTGCATAGAACGAAAGACGTTGTGAGGAAGAACAAGAGGGGCAAAGTGGTCTCGAAGAAGGCGAATGCGGCAGGCAAGAAGGCGTACAACAACATCTCGGCCTGGACCACGGCAGTGGTGAAGGCCAGGAAGGAGCTTGGCATCAAGGGCTTCTGCGCCGTGAACGGGAAGACGGCTCAGGGCAAGGCCCTGTATGCCAAAGCCAAGGCCATCTTTGCTGCGTGAGCAGAAGAGAGCCAGGAGTTGTCTGGGAAGTAGCATCGTGGTTTGCTTGCGTGGTCATTCACGGAGTGGACCTTCTGATGCCCTCTTCACTTAAGGCTCAGTTGACGCTGAATAGGCCTGGCATGTACAGCTGATTTTGTCGGCCTTCGGTCTAGGGATGGCAGTGCGACTGTACACATTTTGACACTGCCTTGCGCAGCTCAATCCCAGATCATGGAAACAGATTCATTGTGCCCCTTCCCCACTGCATCGAACATTTGTTCGCAATTCCCTGCTTCCGAGATGAATATTGTAGCGCATCCGTGCAAGGTCGATGGAGTTGCGGGCTGCCTGGTTGGCATCATCCCACCTAGCTGGTAACCAGGTGGCTCCCCCATGCGTAGAGGACGGAGGGCAGATCGCCGGTAGCTTTCCGAATCTCAAGCTTGTCCGCCCCTAGTGCCTTGTTCGGTTGCGTTGGTCTCATTGACGTACCATGGCTCTTCCCATGAAGTCTGCGATGAAATCCGTGATGAAGTCGAAGTCCATGAAGAAGGCCACCAAGCCGTCGATGAAGGCCAAGGTCATGAAGAAGAAGGCCGTGAGCAAGATTGCGAAGGGCAAGTTCGCCAAGGCGGCAGTGTTCAAGGGCGCCAAGGAGAAGACGGCTACCCAGCTGACCAAGACTGACCTCATGAAGCTTACCAGCCTTAGCAGGGCTTTTGCACTTTCATTCTACGTTTGTTTTTCCATAATTTTCACGCCAACCAGCTTCACTTTTTTTGCAATGGCTTTGAGTGCATAGAACGAAAGACGTTGGGAGGAAGAACAAGAGGGGCAAAGTGGTCTCGAAGAAGGCGAATGCGGCAGGCAAGAAGGCCTACAACAACATCTCGGCCTGGACCACGGCAGTGGTGAAGGCCAGGAAAGAGCTTGGCATTAAGGGCTTCTGCGCCGTGAACGGGAAGACGGCTCAGGGCAAGGCCCTGTATGCCAAAGCCAAGGCCATCTTTGCTGCGTGAGCAGAAGAGAGCCAGGAGTTGTCTGGGAAGTAGCATCGTGGTTTGCTTGCGTGGTCATTCACGGAGTGGACCTTCTGATGCCCTCTTCACTTAAGGCTCAGTTGACGCTGAATAGGCCTGGCATGTACAGCTGATTTTGTCGGCCTTCGGTCTAGGGATGGCAGTGCGACTGTACACATTTTGACACTGCCTTGCGCAGCTCAATCCCAGATCATGGAAACAGATTCATTGTGCCCCTTCCCCACTGCATCGAACATTTGTTCGCAATTCCCTGCTTCCATTCCAATTCGGTAAGAGATTGATGAATATTGTAGCGCATCCGTGCAAGGTCGATGGAGTTGCGGGCTGCCTGGTTGGCATCATCCCACCTAGCTGGTAACCAGGTGGCTCCCCCATGCGTAGAGGACGGAGGGCAGATCGCCGGTTGCTTTCCGAATCTCAAGCTTGTCCGCCCCTAGTGCCTTGTTCGGTTGCGTTGGTCTCATTGACGCACCATGGCTCTTCCCATGAAGTCTGCGATGAAATCCGTGATGAAGTCGAAGTCCATGAAGAAGTCCACCAAGCCGTCGATGAAGGCCAAGGTCATGAAGAAGAAGGCCGTGAGCAAGATTGCAAAGGGCAAGTTCGCCAAGGCGGCAGTGTTCAAGGGCGCCAAGGAGAAGACGGCTACCCAGCTGACCAAGACTGACCTCATGAAGCTTACCAGCCTTAGCAGGGCTTTTGCACTTTCATTCGACGTTTGTTTTTCCATCATTTTCACACCAACCAGCTTCTTTTTTTGCAATGGCTTTGAGTGCATAGAACGAAAGACGTTGTGAGGAAGAACAAGAGGGGCAAAGTGGTCTCGAAGAAGGCGAATGCGGCAGGCAAGAAGGCGTACAACAACATCTCGGCCTGGACCACGGCAGTGGTGAAGGCCAGGAAGGAGCTTGGCATCAAGGGCTTCTGCGCCGTGAACGGGAAGACGGCTCAGGGCAAGGCCCTGTATGCCAAAGCCAAGGCCATCTTTGCTGCGTGAGCAGAAGAGAGCCAGGAGTTGTCTGGGAAGTAGCATCGTGGTTTGCTTGCGTGGTCATTCACGGAGTGGACCTTCTGATGCCCTCTTCACTCAAGGCTCAGTTGACGCTGAACAGGCCTGGCATGTACAGCTGATTTTGTCGGCCTTCGGTCTAGGGATGGCAGTGCGACTGTACACATTTGGACACTGCCTAGCGCACCTCAGTCCCAGATCATGGAAACAACAGCTTTGTGTGTGTGTGTGTGTGTGTGTGTGTGTGTGTGTCGGGGGTCTTTGCAGGCACCTGGCGACTTGTAGGTGAAAGAGTTTGGCTTGCGTTTTTGGCCCCCTGTCAACAATTACCTCCCATCCAAAGGAGGCAAAGGTAATTCCGAATCAGATATTGGCAGCTCATCGTATTCCTCGATGCTCCTTAGGCTGAGGATAAAGGCACAGCGACCAACATGCCACGGGTTTGCATTATGTTCCTGGCTTGAGGCATTGGTTTGCCTGGAAGACCGGCAGGCGGGTATGGGACATAGCTGATCTGAAGCATGCACGTCCTTTCGCCACGGTCCCTTGCAGGACAATTTTCTGTTTCTGTTCGTTGGATTGAAATCAGAATCATGTGGCGTGTCTCCCTGTGCGGCAAGGAAGTCCACCCCAAGAGCTCCCAGATCGCAGGTGGGGCTTTGCTCGAACCTGCAGAAGCTCTCAGCCGACCAGCTCTTGGTTGGGAGCCGCAGTTCCAGGGAGAACTTTTGCAAAGCGCGGAATGATTGACAAAGGGGGGAAGGACATCCAAGGAATTTTCGGGTGGACTTCTATGTGATCTGGTTGAGGTGTGTTGCTTGATTTGTGGCGCGTGCTCGTTAGTACTAGTGAGATACCCTCAACTCGGATGAGGGCAGGTGGGGTCGGCAAAGAATCTACAGCTTGGTGAGGAATTGGCTCAGTCCGTTCTGATTTTGTATTGGGAGAATAGGGATCTGGGAAAAAGGGTGCATTTGTGAGTCGGGCAGCTCTTTCTACCCAAGAACATGCCACTGCCCAAATGATCAGATTTTGGAGACACCAACACTTGAGATCAAACCAAATCGCAGTGAATCATGCCATCCTGCTGCTCCAGCTAGAGAAGTGGCGAGCAATACACGTTATTTTCAGTAGCTTGAGTCCAGGGTTGCCATGTCACACAGAGATTGGCATCTGGCTGTGGGTCAAACCGATGGTTCCCAAAACCCATGGCCATATATTATCAAACAGATGTCTTCGATTGTTTTTTTAGTCTGGTTGACATCGCAGCCTGAGAAAGGGAGAACAATAGGGCAAGCAGTCTCCAGCCGCCCAGAACTTGCCGGTCACCGAAAGATTGGCCATCTCTGTGTGCCGAGATGCGGTGGCTCAAAGGTCAGGCGGGCAGTTGCCCAGAGCCACGTCCGCCGCCCGGTGTGCCTGGCGGCGGGGGCAGGAGAGTTTCTGTGGCCTCGATCTCCTCCATGGCATCTGGGCCTGGGCATTTTCCTTTCCCAAGGCGGGGAGGGGGTGTTGGAAGCGTGCGTGGCTTGTCGCCAGAGGAGTTCTTTTGGGTCAAGAGAGCAAGTGCAGAGCTTCATGACTCATCATGACTCGCTCTTCCTTGATTCTTTTTGAGTGCCTTGCCCGCAGGAAAGGCAAACATCAAGCGCAGGGACGATTGCCGGAGGAGCCATTGTTCAAAGTCATGTCGCCTTGGTTGAATCTTGCTTTCTTTGCTTTGCAATCCAGGACTTGGCCAAGACTCTTGACGATCTTACTATGCAAATTGAGCGAATGCAGGCAGGGCAAAGAGTACTGTGCATCGCAAAACAGACCAATCCAAACAAAGCGATACTCGGGACTATCTCCCACATGCGCTCCCTCGACTCGAGACAACTCCCAGCGCGTTTTGTACAAGTCTGCCTCAGATGTGTGTCACACTTGCGCAAGCAGTTAACCAATTATTCTCGGCCACGTTGTTTGCTCGCCAAAACGTCTCTTGCGGACTAGCAACGTAGCAGAGGCTCCAAAGCCCAAAAGTGTTGCCAAAGGGGACGCATCCATTTCCGCTCGAGCTCCGCTCTGAGGCGCAGCTGCAGGAGGCCCGCCACGAGAGCTTCCGGCCACCACCGCCCCCAGCGCCTTGGCTTGGACAAATGGAGAAACGTCGCAAGGGACGGTCCCTCTAAAACGAGCAGGTCAGATGGTGTGGGTTGGTGGTGTTCGAAGTTGTGTGAGGCATGTGAGCCGGAAACGGCGACCCCTGCATGCAAGGAAAGCACGCCCCCGCCAGAGCTGCTCGTGGATGCGTGCCCCGGCAGAGAGAAGTCATCGATTTTTTGCCATTCTCGGATTGGGAGGACCAAGAGGTTTATGATCTGCTATGACCACTTCGACAGAAACAAAAAGGAGGAAGACCAGATTGAGAGCGTGTAGAGGGTCTGAACAGGGGTTTGGTGTCCTTGAGGCAAGCGCGTCAGGATTTGTGACAACAGGCGAACGAGGGCGGTAGCAGCGGATCAGCGCGTCTGTGATTTCCGCTATTCAATTCACTTCTCGATCTTGCGTTGGCCAGGTTTTGGATTCGGCACAGAACACACGAATCAAAAAGGCTCCGCTTTCGTGCTTAGAACTTCGCCCGCTTGAGGCCCATTTCCGCGAGCACGCTCAATACTGGTCTGCCTGGCTGCATGGAGGAGGAGGAGGAGGAGGATGAGGAGGACACTCCCGACATTGTCGCTTGGACCTATCGGGGTCCTTTCGACAAACTGGAACTCGAAAGATTTTCAGCTCAGTGTTCGAGCCATCTGCTGGATGTTTGACATGCTTGTAGCCGTGAGCGGAAACCCCTCACAATGATCCCTTGGTTTCAACACCTGCCAGGTCAGGCAGCATTGAGCCGCTTGTAGACAGCCAACATGTGCAACCCTTGGGTTTGGGACCACCGTGCCTTTCGAAAGCCGCTCAAGCCGCATCGGTGTTTCGTCCAAGTCTGTCTCCGCTTGATCGCTTTTGTACGTTGAGTGGATCTCTAGACCATATATGCTGCATCTTTTTCTCAGAGAAATTGGTTTCAGTTTCCCCCAGGCTTGATTTTGTTTCCCCCTATGGTCACATTTCCGCACCGCTCCTAGTATCAGGTGACCAATGGCTCCGCCACCCAGCCGTTTGAGGAGCTGGTCGGATCGTTGGCTTCAAGCAAAATGACACCAGAGCAGCGTCCGAAGGTGAATTGCCACTTTTAGTAGGTGCTATTCGTGCCTTGACCATGGTACCGATGTCAATGGGGTGTTGGGGCGTCATTCAATTTGGGGGCCATTTGATCCGCAGGAGCCTCCTCCGAAGAGGGATAGTGTACTGGAGAAGCTAGGCCGCTGCGTTGGCTTGCAGAACCCGGAAATGACTTGCGCGCACACGCGCACTCGCAGAATCTCTCGCTCTCTCTCGCGCAGGGAAACACAAAACATATATACACACTCAGACACTTTTATAATTGCACACTCAAACGTCAGGCACGTACTGCAGAGACACACACAAACTCATCAACACCCTTGCCAACGTATGTAATGTGTTTGTTAGTTTGTTGTTTTGTATGTATTTCTGAATCAATGTAACGTATGCTATGTTGTGTTGTGTTACAATATGTCATGTTATGTCTGTATGTATGTTATGTTTGCATGTTCTGTATGTGTGTATGTTTCTATGCATGTGTGTATATGTGTATGTATGTATGTATGTAATGTAATGTAATGTAATGTAATGTAATTTAACGTAATGTAATGTAATGTAATGTAATGTAAGGTAAGGTAATGGAAATGTATGTATGTATGTATGTATGTATGTATGTATGTATGTATGTATGTATGTATGTATGTGTGTATGTGTGTATGTGTGTATGTGTGTAAGTGTGTATGTGTGTATGTGTGTATGTGTGTATGTCTGTATGTCTGTATGTATGTATGTGTGTATGTGTGTATGTGTGTATGT